GTAATCATGAACATAAAATTAAAATGAAATAGAAATTAGTTATTTTTCTTTGCTTTTTATATTTTTAATTAACATTTGAATGTTATTATAAAAAATGTTTGACAATTCTTTTTTGCCAAAATAAAGTTTTATATTTTTGTTATTTAGATTTTTTTTAATTTTACTTAATTTGAAGTGACCCTAGCTTAGTGATAGCTTGCGTGCGAGATCCATAATAAAGTTTAAGCAATGCACGCGTTAGCTTGCAACTGGATGGGTGACCGTTTCGTACTTTGAGGCTATTCCAACTATAGCACCGCAACGAGCTAAGGATTATTGCTTAGCAATAAAAACTACTACGTACAAAAAGCAATCTCTTCCAGATAACCTTGGGCTAAGAGTGAAAACAAAGAGTGTTTCACTTGTCAATCAAGTGCAAAAAAATATAATGACATGCACATACAAAAAGTAAAACAATTTATTGACAAAAAAATAAAACGAAACAAATAAAAATCCACACCAAAAATTATCGTAAAAATATACCAACACTGGCATTCCCAAAATCGTATCCATACTATACAACCTGCTCTCTAAGATGGCGGATTTCATGTGAATAACTTTACGACCCATGTCTGTCCACAACCGCCAGGTGGACGAGAGATTTAAGCAATTTGTTATTTTTAGTTTTATGAAATATTTAATCGAAACTATACAATTGTAATTATTGTTATGTTTGTAAATAAGTATGTTAACGATATTAAGACAATGTTTACCATTCACAATTGTACTTTTAATTTAAAACAATTGAAGTTAATACGATCATGGTTTCAACATGGCGGTCGAAATGGCAAGCAATGTTTGATAAAATGGAACAATTTATGTACAAATCGTCATCTAATATATTTTATATTAATAGAAAAGTATTTATGACTTACCCATTCATGTTTATCTTTAATATTGACTTCCGAAATCACTTTCAACAATTAATACTTTGCACGTAAACACACGACACCGCGTCACAGAACGAGCAACTGAACGGAATAAATGTATTACTATTTCACAGCTTCTATGGTTGGTTTATGAAGCGTGTGTGATATTAATTGCCGTCTTTGTTTAATTCTCTGCATGTTGTACCAGTTATAGGGAGATACGTATACTTTTACTAGGGCTGTTTCGAATCTGAAGTTTATAAGTAACCAGCAACCTTCTGATGGTTGTGGACAGATGCGTACTTTTTGACAGCAACCTTTAGAAGGTTTTGGACTGACGAGAGGATATTACAAAAAGCATAACAAATTGCAAGTACCATATATCGGGTGTCCCAGAAGTCGACGTCAAGCCGAAACTTTCTGATAGGCGAGACCATACTAGTTACCAAAAAAATATAAAAAAATCTAAGTCATGTATTTCAAAAATTATAGTAATTTTTTTTTCGAAACAATATACACCATGAGACAGTTTTTTCATTCCTGTTGCTACAAATATTTACTTTTTGCCAATTTTTTTCTCTTACGTCATCCTGAATAGTGCTTCTGTAACCTGTAATCCTAAACTCTGTCCCGATCACTCCAGCTTAAAAGAAAATGTAATTTTATACCGAACCAAGTTTTTTTTTTAATAATAATAATAATAATTTATTAAAAACTTTAACTTGTAGTACATATAAAAAAAAAATCTTACATGAGATACATTACAAAAATACTAGTGATGGTGACGTTCTGTTCTCCTTGCTAGACTAAGAAATAGCCTGTATTAAGGAGATTCAGTCCCTTACCCCCTTACAAAAGTGATCAGAAAGCAAAAATTGCTCTTAACTTTTTAGTACTACAGATTTGTGTGTGTGTGTGTGTGTGTGTGTGTGTGTGTGTGTGTTGTTGTGCGTGTATGTGTGTGTGTGTGTGTGTGAAGTGCGTGTATGTGTGCGTGTGTGTGTGTGACCTCATAATATAATTATGTTGATATAATATAAATTAGTTAGTTAATAAGTACTGTTCTGTCTCTTCATAACTCTTGTTTAGTAGGAAGGAGTACACGGCTTTCTTACATTTGTAATTAGATAGTTCATAAATAGAAATATTAAAATTGATCTTATTATAAAGAAAGGGACCGAAATATGAGAAAAACCTTTTAGCAAAATGAGAGGAGACTGTCGGAATACTGCAGATTTTGTCCTTACGCCTCTTGGTAATTTCGATATAAGGAACCTTACGATGTTGTAACATCACTGTATGTAGTATAAACAATTGTCTTACATTAAGAACGTTATGATCTTTGTAGAGCTGAATTGTCGGGTATAATATGGGTCGAAAGGCCATGATCTTTAAAAATCTGTGTGCGATTTCTAAAGGTTTCAAGATAGTTTTTGCGGCACCACCCCAACATGAAATGCAGTAAGATATGATAGAAAGGCAAAGTGCAAAATAAACGTTGCGTATGATACTCTGATTAGTGACGTGACGAAGTGATTTGAAAATAAAGATTAATTTACGGACTCTGCTGGTTAAATCTTCAATGTGGACTTTAAAATTTAGGGTTTTATCTAGAGTTATGCCAAGATATTTGACTGTGTCGACCGAATTAACAAGGGGACAGTGGCAAGCTTGTTGATATTGGTAATGGCATGAGTAGGCTATTAATTTTACTGGAATTTTAGGTTGTGATTTTGTAGAGATATAAAAAGCAACGAATTTAGTTTTTGCTGTTAAAGTAAGGGTGTGTGCACGAAGCCAATCATATGTAATATTAAAGATACTTTGCGCAATTTCTTGGAGTTCAGTCCAAGTACCTGCAAAGAAGGTAAGGGCGGTGTCATCAGCATATGAAACTATCTTAGAGTTATTGACTTTAATATTACAGAGGTCGTTAATGAATATCAAGAAGAGAGTTGGTCCGAGTATACTACCCTGGGGCACACCGTAAGATATAGAAAGTTCATTACTTGTATAGTTGCCTATCTTTACCCTTTGAGTCCGATCTGAAAGGTAGCTACGGAAAAAATCAAGTTGAGAACCCCTGATACCTATATTTTCTAGTTTTAATAACAGAGTATTGATGGGAACCGTATCAAAAGCCTTAGCTAAGTCCAAGAATATTGTAAGGACTTTTTTGTTGTCGTTAAGCTTATTTACAACGAAAGTAGTTAATTCGTGAATAGCGTCAGAAGTGGATTTATTTTTACGAAATCCAAACTGTTGGGAAGAGATTATATTACAGTGCTCCAGATACTTTGCTAGTCGCCTGTTGACTGAACGTTCCAAAACCTTTGATAAAGCACTAAGCACCGCAATGGGGCGATAATTATTAATGAGATTCCCATCACCACTCTTGAAAATTGGATGGATGATAGCCCTCTTGAAAGAGGTAGGAAAGACAGAAGATTCTAGACAGAGATTATAAATATGGGCTAGAATAGGTGCGAGAATAGGGGAGTATCGTTTTAAAAAACTCGGTGGAATTTCATCCCATCCGGTAGCTGCATTATATTTAAGCGAATTAATAAGTAATTTAATTTCATCAGTGTCCGTGCATTCTAAAACAAAAGATGACAGATTAGATTTTACTAGGGTGGTTCCTTTTGGTGGAACTGCGTAATTGCTGGTGTTTTTTTTGCGCTAGCTCCTTCCCGATGTTGATAAAGAATTTATTAACGTTATTACACGACTGAATTGGTGAGATAGAAGATAATAATTGCTGTGCTGTCGATTCTCGAGATTTTTCGTTACAAGCGATATTCTTTGTAGTGTTCCATAAATCTTTACTGTTTTTACTTGCTTTTTTTATTTGCTCCGAATCGTACCGCCTTTTTACCTTTTTTAATATTTTTGTACAGAAATTCCGGTACCTTTTGTATGTTATAACAAGTGTTAAATTGTTTGGATCTTGTTTTAACTTTCTGTGTAAAGAGTCTCTGTTATGGATACATCTTAATAAACCTGGAGTTATCCATGGTTTGAGTATCCTCTTTTTTTGCTGATAATTTGATAGTGTACGTATTATCGAGTATAGCTTGAGACATTAGCTGTATAAAACTATCCGTTGCTACGTTAGGGTCATTGAGTGTTAGAATAGGTTTAAGATCTATTTGCTCCATTGTTTTGTCTAATGTTATATAGTTTATTTTCGAGATTGTCTTAGGAGGTTTGAGATATGTATTTTTTTGTTTTGATACATATGATTGAAGAGTAGTGATCGGTGATAGTTGTATCAAGTACAAAAGTTAAGACTGGGAATTTAGATTGAACAAAAGTATGGTCAAGGCAGTTGTTACCTCTTGTTGGGAAGGTATGAGCAGGTAACAACCCATGAAAAGCAAGACAATTTAGATACTCGTGTGAGTGGTTATTGAAGGTTTTAATATCAATGTTAATGTCTCCGATTAGTATAACATTTTTGTATTTTGAGAGTGACAGGAGTATATCGTTTAAGGCAGATAGAAATGGACTAATATTTTCATTAGAAGGAGATCGATATATGCAAATCACTGCTATATCAGAATTGATTTTAATTATTAGTCCGGAGGCTGATCCGTTAAAGTCTGGTTCTTCGACAATCGAGGATAAAGACGTTTTTATGTATACAAGAACACCATCGCTTTGATTAAGGTGCCTAGATATTTTATGAATTGAATAACTGGGTAAACTGGGAATATAGTGATTAGTGGAACAGGATAACCAACATTCAGTCAATGTCAAAATATCACAATCAAACGCTATGCTCTGTAAAGTTGTTTGTAAATTTAAGAAGTTACAGTTAATAGACCGAATATTTTGGTTAAAAATTTTTATATATTGCTTTGGGTTTTGCAATATTTGATTGGATTTTTCAATGGTACAGAAAAGCAATTCGGAAACTGAAAGCTGGTCAACGTTTTCAATTAAATTATTAATGCTATTAGCCATTTTCGTGGTTTAAATTAAGGGTAGAAAGGTTCGTAGGAAAGGCTGTTATAAGGATGGAGTTATTATCTGTTGTGCATATAGTTGAACCGAAATATCGACGTGGTAATTCTACATACGACAGCACTAGAGGCTGGGAAATGCTAAAATTATGTTTTTGTAGGTATACAGCAATATTAATAATTTTAATAATGGTGTTAAGAATATTAGTGTTAATGTTTAGTGTAATATTACAGTTCACATTTTGTATGAATTTTATGGTAATGTTATGTGTGTAAATATGTGGTAAGTTTAATTTGTGTGGGTGTAAATATATAATATCTATGTTAGTCATTAAGATAAGTAAGTGGGTGTAATTAGTTAACTTATTGGGACTTAAACAGTAAGCAAATATAAAAAAATATGGGAAAAACATTAATAATATATAACGTAAACAAAATCGAAAATGTTTTCGTAGTCATGCTCCTTTGGATGTAGACAACTGGTTTAAATGCTGCTCATTTCTTACTATAATGTAGGGAGATTTGTCGTCTTTTCTCAGCAGGATTCTCCCATTTGATGTCCAGCAATATGCGTACTGGTTTGATTTTGCAAATTTTCGCGTGATATAAAACAATGACTTAGAGCTAGGAGTGAGCTGTTCAGTGATATAAATAGGAGTAAGTGGGCCATCTAGACCCAGATGAGACGAATTCAGCTTATTGTTTGTGTTACGTTTGTTATAATTCTTAACCAGAGACAAGAAATTACTTTTTATAAGAGTATTGGAGAACTCAACTGTCAGATTAGATGTTTTGTTTTCCTTTTTCGAATATTGCCTTGACACATCACGAATATCAGAGACCTGCAGATCGATTTCTATGAGCTTTGATAATTTTATTAGCATATCATATAGATCTTTCTTCGACTCTTGGATCCTCTTGGGTAAATTGCGAATTTCAACACAAGTCTTTATGCAACTGCGATCAAGAGTCTCCATTTTCTCTTCCAGCGAAGATAGTTTGTAAGCCACGGTGGTACGCTCCTGTTCCAGGTAAGTAATTTTAGTCTCCAGCGAAGTTATTTGTTCAGATATAAAGTTCATGGACTTTTCTAAGTCGGTGTTGGTATTTTCTATTTTTGAGTTTTGGTTTTTAATATCTAATAAATAATTTTCAAATTTATCCATCCTTGAAGTTTGTGCAGACAACAACTCTTTGATCATGCTTTTGATATCGTTTGTTATATCGCTCTTAATTGTGGTTAACTCCTCTAGAAACTCAGGAGCTCCAGCGCCTGATGGATATCGGCGTTTTGTTCGTTGCGTTACATTGTGTGCTATAAATTCGTCAGGCGCTAAGCCTTCTTCAGAACACAATTTGCGTATATCAGAATCGGAACGTGAGGGCGTGTTCCGTTTATTCGAAGTTTTTGGTGGCGATTTAAACATTGTGAAAACTGATCGTATGTCCACTTAATAAGACGGTGGTATAAATTTGTAAGTCTGTTTTAAATGCAATCCGTCGCAGGACCTGTACTATTTTTTATTCTGTGGCGGTAGTTAGTTCCGCCCCGACTCCGCCCACTGATTCTGCACTTAGTAAAAGTGGGTTGGGACTTTGAGAAGCGAATCAAAGGCGATCAGCTGCGACTAAGCGAATTAGTGGCGGCGTAACAAACAAGGTAGTTTAGTAATAACAAGAAATGACTCACTGTGATTTCTGTTATCCTGGTAGTTCGTACTAATTATAACGTATAATTATTTTACTAAGATTAATTTCGCGAATATTGCACTCACTAAAAACACGTCCACACTTGCTGGCGTCCAAGGGGGGAAGGGGATTAATCTGAATTAAATTCCATATGCTGCACAGATCCGACGGCCGGAGCGTGTGCGCTTTCATCAATTATGATGAAAGCGCACACGAACACGAACCAAGTTTTCAGATTTAGTTTTTTGCACTACTTCAACTGACCGTCCTGGAAAAAAAATGTACTACACCAGTTTCGCAAGTAGCTTTAAAAGTTAGCGCATTTAATTAGTATGGTAGTATGGTATAACACTTACTCCATTATTTCTTAGATCAGCCATAAAAATTTTTTTGTTATACAAAGTCAGTTTTTAACAATTTTTGAACTTACATTAAAACAATTGTAGTGCAACCAAAGCATTCCTAATGACCACAGCGTGGTTTAAATGAGATAGAGAGAGACATTCCATAAAGTGTCAGCGAGACAGATAGTAACGCTTATGAGACACAGACGCAAATGAGTGAACAATATAGAGAGCCATGCTAAGTGTGAGCAAGACAGGTAGTGACGCCTCTTATTGGTATTGGTACACGCACTACAAATCAGTCAATTACTCTGTGAAGTTGGTACGCAACGCTATTTCGTTTATTTACTACGCATCTTTTCGTATTCGCTGGTGATATCTTGTGTTCTTACTACTTTGGCTTCGTTTACTGGACTTGTTTGCGTGTGATTTGGATTTGGACATTTGTGATTTCTTTACGACGACATTTGCTTTTCTCTGGACTAACGTGTTTTGCGTATTTGTACCATACCATGGCTGTGTACACCACACAGGAATATGCCAACATGCACCTCATTTATGGGGAATGCCAATGTAATGCCAGTGAAGCCGCTGGACGGTATTGCGAGAGATACCCTGATGCTGATCGCTATCCAGATCACAGAGTTTTTACCAATGTGCGCCGTCTACTCTTCTCTAATGGCCGACTGCCAAAGCAAATGCATGGTGAAGGTAGAATTTCATTACCTAATGAGGAAGTAGTCGTTCAAGCAGTTGATGAGGACCCAAGTTGTTCGGTACGTGGAATTGAGGCCAGCACAGGTGTGCCCAAAGATATAGCTCACTGAATATTACAAAAAAATGAGCTCCAACCTTATCATGTACAGCGAGTACAAACGTTATTACCTCGGGATTATGAATCTCGGGTTGCGTTTTGCCAAACCATGATTCAAAAACACCGAGAAGACCAACAATTCTTGTTCAAATTTTGTGCTCGGATGAATCAATCTTTAAAAAAGACGGCTACATGATCCTTCACAATCTACACGAATCGCACGTCGAAAATCCACGATTGATGAGATAAGATAGATCACAGTACAGTTTCAAAATAAACATGTGAACTGGAATTTTAAACGGAAAAGTCATAGGGCTTTTCGAGTTGATAGAAGTTTTAAATGCTGAAATTTATTTAGATTTTTTACAAAATCATTAACCCAATTTGCTAGAGGACGTGCCGCTTATTATTTTCGGAGATATGTGGTTCCAACAAGATGGTTGTCCAGCGCATTATAGCCGCTTAGTTCGAGAACACCTTAACGAGGAATATCCGAACAGATGGATAGGGCGGGCTGGTTCGATCTCGTGGCCCGCCCGCTCACCCGATTTAAATCCTCTGGATTTTTTTTACTGGGGATCAGTGAAGGAAAAAGTATATTCCAAGCCGATTGAAAATGTAGAAGAGCTTAGGCAGAGAATAGCGGAAGCAGTTGAATTTTGTAATAATGGAAGATTCGCCCGCCTGATTTCACGATCTTTTTTAAAGAAGATGTCGGGCTAGTATTGTAGCTCAAGAATGGCAATTTGAACATCTTTTGTAAAATAAGTAATGAATTATATCACAGAAATGAAACTGACTGTCTTAATTTTATAATCATTATTTTATTACTTTAGTTTGTATTTGCGTCTGTGTCTCATAAGCGTCACCATCTTTCTCGCTCACACTTTATGGAATGTCTCTCTCTATCTCATTTAAACCACACTGTGGTCATTAGGAATGCTTTGGTTGCACTACAATTGTTTTAATGTAAGTTCCAAAAATTGTTAAAAACTGACTTTGTTTAACAAAAATATTTTATGGCTGATCTAAGAAATAATGGAGTAAGTGTTATACGACGTTAGAATCCTTATTAAATGCGCTAAATTTTAAAGCTAATTGTCAAACTGGCGTATTACAATTTTTTTCCAAGAAGGTTAGTTGAAATAGTGCGAAAAACTAATTCTGAAAACTTGGTTCGGTATAAAATTACATTTACTTTCAAGCTGGAGTGATCGGCACAGGGTTTAGGATTACAGGTTACAGAAGCACTATTCAGAATAACGTAAGAGAAAAAAAATAGCAAAAAGTAAATATTTGTAGCAACAGGAATGAAAAAACTGTCTCATGGTATATATTGTATCGAAAAAAATTACTATAATTTATGAAATACATGACTTAGATTTTTTTATATTTTTTGGTAACTAGTATGGTCTCGCCTATCAGAAAATTTCGGCTTGACTTCGACTTCTGGGACAGCCTGTATATGCTGACGATGTGCAGCTATATATTTCCTTCCACCCCAGTGAAAGTACAAGTTATGCCTGTGCCCGCTTCTGTTATAAAATTCCTCCACGTACCCATTTAACACCTTACATTAACAACGCAAGAATGCTTAAAATGGATTACCATTGGCAACTACATTTCGCCACTTTATTGTTAGGCACTATTAAAACGAGAACATCCTCCTATTTTTGTAATAAGTTATAATGGGCACGAGATAATGCTACAATTTCGACAAAAGCTTCGGCGTACAAGTTGCTCATACCTATACACCATTCTGCCGGATTCCGAGGGAGCTGCAGACATGCCGCAACCAAGTGCTGGAATAACCTTCCACCGCCTCTTCTAAACCTACAATAAATGTATAGTTTTCGTTTAAAATACAAAGCTATACTATTAAACGAACAGCTACGATTGTAGATTTTCAATATAAAATGTAATGTTTTTATGCTTTAGCGTGTCTATGTATGTTCCATTGGGTATAATTGTCATTTTTTTCCTTCCTACGTCACAGGTGTACAATCTAATTACACTAGTCTCTTTCCATTGCGCGCGTAGTGTAGATAGATCCTAGGTTCTGTGACAAAACATGCTAAATGGATGCGACAGCAAGTTATGTTGAACATATCTCTCGGGTTGCTATTGTGTATAAGTGTTTTATATGAAATTTAAATAATTTTTATATATGATTAAAACTACTTTTACGGATTTTATCGCGTTTATTTTTACTCGGTCACGGGGGAGTCCTCCGTGACCATGGGTGCTGGAAAGCGCCCGAAACGTCGGGAATTAAAAATAAAAGTAAATAAAAAGTAAAAATAAACGCGATAAAATCCGTAAAAGTAGTTTTAACCATGTATAGTGTTCGCGTAAATATAAGAAATCATTAATTTTTATATCCTCGGTTCCAGTTATGTAATGAAATTAACATTCATAAACAACCGGTATAGCACTACAAATATAGGGCAGTTGTGGCCCAAAATTATATATAAAAAGAATATTAAAAACGTATTAATCGTGTATACTTGTATCATCGAGGGCGGCACTGAAAATTTCGGGAATCAAGGAAGTGACACATTACTATTTAAAAATGTATTTATTGCTTTTCGAAGTATTCTTCGCGAAATTTGACACATTTTTCCCTACGATGGAACCAATCATTGAAGCAACCATTCCATTCGGAAGTTGGGATCTCCAAAATGACCGTTTTGTAGGCGTCCACAGCTTCTTCAGGTGATGAAAATCTCTGTCCACGCAACTTATTCTTTATTTTAGGGAAAGTATAGACATCATTAGGGCTTATTTCGGGGCTGTACGGCGGGTGGTCTAATAATTCTATGTTTTCTTGCTCTAAAAACTCTTTTGTTCTGTGTGCGGTATGAGAACTCGCATTGTCGTGATGGAGAATGATGCGGCGGTTGCAGTTCTCTTTACGGAGTTCAGAAACGACCTGTGGCAAACAAATGCTAGCATACTATTCTGCATTAACCGCTCTTTGTTCCTCAAGAGGAATAGTTGTACAGACCGTGCCACGAAAGATGAGACTCGGTGAGCGTCAGTAGTGGAGAGCTTGCGCAGGTACTGTCGTGTACGAAATATTATCCATAATTTGTATATCTATTCAGGAATTTTTCGACGACATTTGAAATTAACACAACGTAACAAAATTCTGGAAAATAGTTATTACGAAATAATAAATTTAAAGATAAAAATGGCTGATTATCCTAGTCACTGTCACTGTCAATAAATGATACACCAGCGGGAAGATTATCGTTTGTAACGCGGCTGCAACCAGGTATATCAACTCTAGAAAATACACTACTTGTTCCAGGAGTTAATATATTATCGTTTTCGTCAGATGACGATGAGGAACTACCTGAGTCCCCTGAGTCGCTGTCTGACGAATCTTCTCCAAGTCTGATAATTATCTCCGTATCCTTCAAATTGTCTATTATGTGATCACTTTCTATGTAAAAGTCTTCAATTTTTTTTTTTGTTTTATCACATAGAGCTTTCCATTCATTTGGTCCCATTTGGCTTGCCTTTTCTGTTACTAACTCTATTACACGTTTGAGGTTCCATTGCACATAACCTTTTATTGAAACCCAAGCCATTTCGATTGGATTTAAATCTGGGTGGTATGGAGGTAATCGCAGTACGTCATGACCGTGTTCAGATAGTATTTTGTCAATGCTGAATGTCTTATATTGTTCTTTATGTATTTTTATCAATTTGTACAATTGTAGTTTAAGCATATCTGGAGTGTAGGGAATTCCTTTTTGGGTTAGCCAAGATTGCATATCAGCTTTCTTGGTGTTTGAGCTTGGTGCAGATTCATACTCTTTATTGTGATACGGGGCATTATCAACTATCACGACGGCATTTGGTGGAAGATTGGGTATTAGCTGGGTTCGAAGCCATTTCTGATAATTTTCGTAATTCATGTCGTCGTGGTAATCACCCGTTTTTGACCCCGATTTAAAAGTCAGTAAAGCGTTTGGTATGAAACCACTTTCAGATCCAGCATGTACAATAACTACGCGCTGACCTTTAGATATTGATTTTTCGAGCCCTTTATCTGAATTATCAGACCAAGATTTGGAGGTACTATGCGTGGAATGCACGTAAGACTCGTCAGTATATACAATAGGACGGCCTTCTTGGCGATATTTTCTGACTTTTTTGAAATATTCAATTCTTTTCAGTCTGATATTGGATTTTTCTATAAGAATTTTTCGATTATTTTCGGTCGGTTCGAGATTTTTAGAGCAAAAAAGGCAATATATGTCTACATCTCGGTTAACCCAAGTACAGCCAATCTAGAACAATTAACTGATCATAAATGGGAGAGCCTACCGGAGTGCATAACATTACTCAAGCCATTCGAAAAAAATACTAAAATTACCGGCTCCACTTAAGTATGAACTTTTGAAGTGATATCCTATACCAATGCCCTTTTAAAATATTTATCAAAACCTAAAGTCTGTCAGACTTGCACAAGTATAGTAGATATGAAATAAAATCTCAATGTTCAAAATGAAGTTCAGAGCTGCTTTCAAGTGTTAGAAAATGACAAATATTATATAATGATTTCTTATATTTACGCGAACACTACACATTGAAATAATACTAGTTTTTACGGAATTTATCGCGTATATTTAACTTTTTAAATACCCGACGTTTCGAACGCTTTACAGCACTCATGGTCACGCGCGGGACTGAGATGTTCAACGTCCATATGTCATAGTTAACCGCGGTTACCATAGATTAAAATTTAACTTTGGTTCCGATCTATACAGTATGAACTTACGGTATCTTGAAGTCTTGCAGTTGTATGCTTGGGTTGGGATTTAATTTTATTTATTATAGGATCCCAAGCAGATGGTAGCACCCAGCCATCTTCTTTATTAAAATTAGGATGTTTTTTTGATTTCAATAGCCTCGCGAATCATCCTTGGAAGGAATCGGTTTCTTTAGCGAGGATTTGTGGTCTATCAAATCTGATGTAGTGACGGGGGCGATCCTGTACGTGTTCACAGACTGCAGACTTCCCGGAGCGTCGATTCTTCACATCAGCTATATTTTCTTTAACGCGGGTTTTTATTGATCTTTTAGTTTGTCCTATGTAGGAGAGACCACATTCACAATCAAGCTTGTACACTCCTGCATCTTGCAGAGGGACATTACACTTGACTGATGGTAAAAACTGACCAATCTTCTTCAGCGGCTTGAAGTATGTTTTGATGGAAGCGCGCTTCAAGGTGTCGCCAATCTTGTCAGTGACTCCTCTAACATATGGCAATACAGCAGGTACACGCTCGACAGTGGCCGGCTTCACTCGTTCACTGTGACGTAGGCGCGTGACCATGAGTGCTGTAAAGCGTTCGAAACGTCGGGTATTTAAAAAGTTAAATATGCGCGATAAATTCCGTAAAAACTAGTATTATTTCGACAAATATTATAATTTGGCAACTTTGCTAATCGTAGACACCAGATGCAGGATGCGATTTTTTCATCCAGAGAACTATGAATTGATAAGGAATATGCTATTTTTAGAATTAGTAAAACGAAGTGACATTTCAGATAGTGTTGTGAAAAGAAAAGTTTCAAAATATTATTACAATAATTCTTTCTTCGTCCGAAATTAAATATAAGGTAGTTTGTACGTTGTAGATCACATTATAGTTATAGCCCAGGTCGGACAGCTCAACCAGGGAAAGAACCACGCACTCAAAAAACTCAACCGTAAAAAAACAGCCTAATGCTGTTTTATTTTTTATGGTGAGTGTAGATAACTATATACACTTTTTACTGGAAACGAGTCAATCCACCTTATTCGTCCGGGGTGTTAACGGATCTGCATTTTGATTCTTAATCGAGACTAGATATCGATGTCTGGGGGCTACAGATTCCACTTATCATCATGGACAGTGTGCTCGTTTATCAAACTTATTCTATAAAAAATCACTCGGAGTTAAGTGCGTGAAAATGAAATATTTATTGTTATGTATCTTCCTTTACCTGTGCGTGTAAATGTGGTAATGGTGTAAATTTCCAAAAAGAATAAACTATTAAACCACTTGTAGTTATGCATAACAAGCTATGAATAAATTTAATATAATTTATGAGTCATTAACGTAAACGTACATAACGACTTACTCATCAAAAACGTAAACCACTTCTAAACTTCGTCTCAACTGGAAAGGTGTCGCCTTTCCAGTTGAGACGGTATTTTATATATTACAAAGGAAAAAAATCTGAAATCTACGAAGTATCGATATTCGGTTCCAAAATGTGTTGACAAAGTTCATCCAGTCAGTCCATTGCAGTTGCTAAAGTATATATAAGTATATTATAAATTTTAATTTTGTTCATTTTGTTTTTCTAACTTATATATATTGTTTTATATAGATAAAACTGTTTTTAAAACATTAATTATCGATCATTACTCAAATTAAGCCTCGAAAAACATATATGAAAAACCGTACCGTGTGCGTCGTGTACAAAGTACTGTCATTAATCAACACACGCGTAAATATAGTAGTCATGTTTCAGTGAATTCCCAAACAAGATTTCGCAATTTGGATTTATCTTTCCCTGAAATATAATAAAATAGAATTAGTTCCATTGTTATAATACGCAAAATTACATTAAATGTGTAAATTATTAGTTCTGTTTATGCGGTTGAAGTATGAAGTATGAAGGTTTTCAGATAAGAGTTTGGCAAATTTTATTAAACAAAATGCTTAGAATTTTCTATTATCTTCTCATCTCATTTAGATTTATCACGAGCTCAAGTTACTGTGTTAACAAACACTTGGATTTAAACTAATTTTGGTATTTTTTGATTATTAGGTATACTATGAATAATGTTATATAACAAAGGCCCTTCCTCGATATAAAAAGGGGATGCAAAAATGTTTGCCTGATGGAGCTATGCTGCAGCTATATTATTGCTGTAGCGTGAATTGGTCGGCTCGACCAAGGATAGACCAAGCTTTCATATAATAATAATTTCCTCCAGACCGAATTTCGGTTACAGCGGCCAGCCTCGATGGAGACTAGTCATCGGCGCAGGACAGGATTATAGTGCCCAAGTGTATGCGCAATCACAGGTGCACTCTCTATTCCCTCACTCTCATAACCCGATGGGACGGTAAACCAACACGACCGGACGCAGGCGCAGGACCAACGGCTTTACGTGTTTTCCGAGACACGGGGGTGAGACAGCGCCAACCTCCTGGCTCCGGACAGCTACTGAAAATTTCTTGACGGAAAAACTCAATAATTGATTTTTAGCCCGACCCGGGATTCAACCCCTCCCTACTACAACCACTAGATCAACGAGGCAGTCGAACGTATGCTCTCATATAATATCAGCATGAAACAACAAATCAATGCTGCTGTGTTTCGCTTAGTATTTGTATCTGTCCGGGCTAATCTCCGGAACGGCTGAATCGATTGTAATTAAACTTCATTAACAGTTGGACAACAATAGCAGAAGTGATCTAGGCTATATTACTTCCAAAAATTGACAAAAAATATCATTTCTTACGTTTATGCCAACTTTCTAATAGAAGCTCGCTTTAACATGTAGGAAAAGTTGTCTTCGTCCCCTCTGAGAATACAGCAGGCATACGCTAGACTGTGATCGACTTACACTGTCAATGTAACGTAGGTACGGGACCCAAAACTTGTGAAAAACTTGCTTAAAGTGCTGAAATTCGGTGCCCAGGTGATTGCTGCAACAGTTGAGCATATGCCTGCTGTATCACCATATGTTGCAGACAAACTTGGCTAGATTTTGAAACGAGCTTTGATTAGAGCACTCCACAATCCGCCGAAGGAAAATACATCGGTTTTTACTATCCGTTAAATGTAATACTCCGCTACCTGATGCAGGAGTATACAAGCTAGATTGTGAATGTGGTCTCTCTCATATAGGGTAAACAAAAAGATTAATAAATACCCGAGTAAATCAACATAAAGCAGTGAAACACCAACGCGCTGGGTAGTCTGCACTTTGTGATCATATCCTAAACGGCTTCCGCCATTACATAAGATTCGATAAACCACAAATCCTCGTGAAAGAACATAAATTCCTACCAAGTATGATTACGTGATGATATTAAAATTAAAATACGACCTTGGGATCTTTTAATTAATAAAAGTAAAGCTAAACCCAAGCATACTACTGCAAAACCTCCATACACCATAAGCTCATTCTGCGTAGGTCGTTCACCTTAAAGCACCTAAAATATCGGGATGAAAAATAATTTCATTAAACGCGATAAAATACATAAAATAGTTTTATTTAATATATAATGTGTGCGTCAATATAAAAAAAAAACTTTGTAAATCGTATTTGACTATTTTAAACTAAAAACACCACATTAATAGATTTTAATAAGGCGAAGATGCGGTGGATTACTAGTTTCCAATAAAAATGAACAATCTTTAATACCATATAAGCATTAAATAAAACATACATCTCACTACATGCTGCATTCACGCCAGACAAATTACAGTCAGCTTTTACTGAGAGTGGCATCACTCAATAGACATCCGAAGCAACGTGAGCTTCTTTTTGGCAACAGTGTAAGGCGCAATAACT